CTATTTTCCAACAGGTATAGTCAAAGTAAACAACCCACCTAATCTTAAAACACAGCTTACTAAGTTACCAACAAGGGTTAAGTGGAGCATTTGCCTAAAAAATCAGATGCTGGGATTTGATATACAATAGATCTTCTACAATTTTATCTCCAGAATTCTCAGGTCAGTTAATGCATCTGCAGTATAAGGATGAGGAAAGCCTGAGTTGGGAAATGACAAAAAGGTAGAGTAAGAAAAAAGGTTACAACTAGAGAAATAAAGAATGGAAGAAAAGTGAGTAGGGAAATTTAGATCTTAAGAAAAAGAACAGAACAGAGTAATTATAGAATAAAATTTATTATATAATACATAGTCCTACAAAAGGGAAAGAAAGTAGAAAGGAGAAAGATGGAAACAGTAAAGAATTTTCCTTTCCTTTACATTTACAAAGCATTGTTTTCTGCTAGAAAGACAGACAGAAAAATACTAAAATATCTTTTAAAATGCTAAAATGCAATGGGTAGTTGATCACCTATACCCATGTGAGTTGACTTTGTTAAGAGAGAGGGTTCTCCTCGTGGCAGGATGTGCAGCCACTGATATCTAAGTGTTTGATGAGGACCTTACTGGAGAGAACAAAACACAGAGTCCTCTGCTAACCTTTCCATGATATGCCTGAGAGGAAAATCTTGCAGCCCTCCTGAAGGTGAGCTCCTCCTGTCTCTGTTGGATGAGAGGACTCCTTCCCCCACAACTGTCTTGTTTCAGCAACCAGCCTCCCATACCTGCCCTTCAACAAGCTATTGCTCTGGCACCTCGTGTAAGCACTCAAATGAACCATTAAATGCAGTCTTGGATGAATACTTAAAAGGAAGGGACTTCTTTGACAGCAGAGTGATTTGGTCTCTCCCTTTGAACAAGGGATGCTATATAAATAGGTTTACCTCTGAATATCTGCTACACAGTGTTTCCCTTCAAATATCAAACCAAACCCAATGTTACATTAGACCACTTGGAAGTCTGAGGACTTGTCAGAAATTGTGTCTCATAATTAATTTATTTATCACTTGTATATTACACATACTGTTCCTCAAGACATCACATTTCACGTATTGCCCATCTGCACCCTCAAGCCTGCAACAGAGGAAATGTGCAGCTGATAATTTAGCATGCATTTCCTTTACACCCCGTGGCTGCATGGCTTTGAGGAGCTCTGCTCCTCAGCAGTGCCAGACTCTCAGGAAACATTTCCCACAGCCCTAAAGCATGCAAGGGACGTCGACAGGAATGGGGGGCTGAGCTGCAGGGGGTGAATGCCATGCTGGCACTGAAGAAACAGTAAAACATGGGCTATAAGAAAGGCCTCGGGTGGAAAAATTGCTTCTTTTTAAATTGGCATGAAATATAGGAAACTGTCTCCCAGGCTTAACTTGTCCTCCAGCAATAGGCACAGAATCTGGATAATGAACTTTTAAAAAAAAAAAACTAATGATTTGTAGTGGGATGCTGTCTTTATAAATATACTTTTATTATTGTGGGGTTTTTTCCCAAACATGCAATAAAAGAGTGAGTCGTAAACATGTAGGAATACTGCTCCTCATTTCCTTTTGGGCCCCCAATCAGGAAATGTTGAAAATCAGTGTTGGTATTGCTGAAGATTAATGGCTGCTGCTCAGAAACCCTACAGAAAGGGAATATATTCCTGCCAGGACAAATACATAAGCCATTGGACAAAAATCTGTGACACAGATAGTATTATATCATCATTGTAAAAATCCACACTGCCTGTCTTGCTCTGTAATTAATAATATTCACATGTGGGTTTGACTGAAATCACTGTAACAACCAGGCAAATTAATGCCATGCCTTCATGCTCTAATTTATTCTACTGGTGTTTGAAGTTTTCTTTTCCAATCAGCTTTACAGTATTTAAAAATGAGATTTTTTTTTTCCCCAGGTATAGGAAGCAATCCTTCATGGATTTTTTTTGCCACTATATGTTCAATATGAGTTTAAAGACCATGTAATCATTACTTTTTTATATGAGCAGTTAGATTTCACAAGAGAAAATACACTCAACTGAGCTATAGGGCCATTAAAATAAATCCCTGTCATCAGTTCATTTGCTTCCCACTCTCCTTCAGAGAGGCTGTACTTAAGAGCTCTCCTCCATGTATATTGGGACTCATTCTCATCACTGCAGCTTCTGTAAACTTTTTCTTCCCTTTTGTTTTCTTACAAAATAAGGCATAGGCTACGGTAACCTCAGATGTTTATGAAAAGCTTTCCTTCTCTTTATTCAGTAAATGCACGGGGTACAGCCAGGAAACATGAAGACAGGCAGAGCTCAGTCCAGCTTGGTTCTAGAAGCTAAAGCATAAGCAAGCTATCTGAGGGTACTATAATTTTAAAAACTAATCAAGGTAAAAATGAGGACATAAACATCATTGCTAGGGCAACTCTCAGATTGGCTTCAGAATTAAGAGCTGGGGCATCAAGTAATGAAGTGCTCAATATTGATACCAAGATTAATATGGTGTGGGTCTATGTTATCAGATGATGTGAGTAGTGAACTAAGCACATGATTCATATGAATACATTACCAGTCTACCTTGCTAACACCATAGTTATCACAATCAGATTACCCCCCATGGCTTAGCTCACTGTTTGAGGGTTCCAAGGCAGTGTCACCCTGGTGGTATGGTCATATACCTGGTGGTATGGGCACAAGGTGCCCCTTGCTCATGGCTGAGTAAACAATCATGGTATTTTATCCCATTTTTTTATTCACAAAATAATGCATCTCCCTACAGGTACAGCCTGATGTTATTCTCAAAACAAAATCTTCTTACATATGCCTAAATAACGTTTGCTTTGCCAGTATTGAAAGGGCTTCAAAGTAAGCCTGCAGTGTGACTTGTCAGTCCACAAAATACCAGCCAGCCACCAGAGATGTCTGAACAGATCTGAAAATAAAAAGCCATGAAATGACTCAGTGCATTAGGTCACTGTGACAGCCAGGAGGTAATACCAGAGTATTTACTTTGGCTGGAGTCTTCCTTGGCTCATCTTCATTTGTAGTGTTAAAGCCATGCTCTCATCTCAAGCCAAAGTGCTGTAGCTTGCCCACTTCAGAAATGGGTCAACACAGGTACCAGGAAAATAACTAAAATGGGGGGTTTGACATGAAATTAAAAGCTTCTGTGGATTAAAAATAATGACTCTCTCCCCTTCCTGGCTGCAAGGAGCAGAAGAACAGATGCTCTCTGCAGCTATCAGTGTGGTTGTCCCCATACTCTCCTGTCATGCTGGGAAGCTTCAGCAGTCTAACATCTCTTTGGGGTCTGTATGTCTAAAAGTATTGTCCAGGATCTATTCCCACCATCCCCATAGGGATAATGACAATATGGGCAGTTCTTCAAAGGTTGTGTAACTACTCCACAAAGTAAAAGACTATGGTGAAGAACAGGAGAATTGCTGAAGCGATAAAGACCACATTTATCGCCACTCAGGAAACATTAGTGACTTACTTCACCTCCCCTTTCCAGACTACAAAGGTGATTTCAGGGTAAATCTTTCTGAACAGCATGAGCATGATACATTTCTTCTGAGGTTTGGCTCTGTTCACTGCAGAAGCTTCACTCTAGCACCATCTCCAAGGAAATTATATATACAAGTTTTTGAATAAAGTGAAATGAAGCACAATAAAAATGGTTACTTCTCTGTAATGTTAATTTCTTTTTTCCTCTGCAAAATTGCATTCAACAGATTTTCTTCCTTTTCTTTCCCCTGCAGTTTTTCATTGCAAAATGACCATTTTCTGTCTTTGACATTTTATTTTTTTTAATGCATACTTCTTGTAACTTGGGAGTAGTTTCTGACAAGCCAGAGGTGAATTATGTGCAGAAAAAGTGATACTTAATGATATTTACTGAGATGAAATCTCAGAGTAATGGTGACTCATGTACCAAAGAAATTAACAGAACAATTGCTTCTTGTAATCAGATAAGATGGTAACAAGTTCAGCATTAAAGTAATAATGTTATGAATGTGGGTTTCAGGGGAAAAGTAAAGCCCTCTATGAAAAGCTAAATAGTAACGGTTAATTGGAATAAAGAGGTTAAGAAAAAATGTTTTCACACAGGGTGGGTGCCTTTTTTCTGCTTGTCCATAGATTCAGTGAAAAAGGTCACTAAAGTACAACCAAAAGAACATATGAATTTGACAAGCCATCCTACCACAAAAGGGGATAAGTTTTGAAAAGCCACAAGTCTTCATACTGACTTTTTGAAATACCATATTTCAACTTCTTATTTTGAAATTCTTTGAAGGCTCAGAGAGTTGAGTGATTTATTAGCATTAAAAAGAATCTCAAAGCTGGATGGACATTTGGGGACAAGTGCAAAATCAGATTGACTGCCATCAAGGACTTACTACTGGGCTGAATTAACATGCAAACCAGGATAACTGAGAAAGCTTTCAAGCAAGCAAGCACTGCTCCAAGAAATAAAATTAATGGATCTTTGAAAGAGAAGGAATGTGCAAAGCACCAGATTTTCCAGAAATCAGACATGACAGGCAGAGCTTTGGCTGAGCTCTCAGTAACAACTAAATAGGTGGAAGTTCCAGGGGACATCCTAAGTCCATTTTCAATATTCCTGACTTGTATATTTGCCTCTTGAATATTTTCAATAATGATTGTAATTACATTCCCTATATTTACTTGTCTTCCCCTTCTTCCCACCCACCACTTATTGCCCTGTGGTTGTTTTCAGCCTCATCTGCAGATCCACATTTGTTTGTCAGGTGTTTCTTTGACAGGTGTTTATGATTTATTTTGTTTTGGTAGCTACAGTGGTAGATAAAGCATCACTTAAAACTATGACTGTTAAACACTGCTCTCTCCTTGTGGTCCTTTGCCTTAAATATGCATGCTCCTTTTAGTTGAGCCCTGTGCTCTTTGGACAACCTAAAAATAGATAGGTACATAGAAAACATGGTTTAGAAGATGTTTAATTTACCTGCAATTCTCCTTCCATTATACTGAGTAGTTTGATCAAGTCTTCTTTAGAAAGCTCTATGGACTTCTTGTTCTTTCGCTCACAAGGACCAGGTGATTTTGAGTGCCGTTTGACAGTTGCTGAAACCATGACCTCATCTTCCTTCCGATGAGGTTTGTTCTTTTTCTTGGCATCCTCCTGAAGTTTTTCATTCTCTGCATGGCTGATGACAGGCTTGGAACTGGAGAAGTGCCCGTTAGACGAGCTTTCTCCACCTTGGTTTCGGGATCTCATCCCTGCCTAGAAAGAAACAAACATAAAGGTGCATTTATAAACAAAATTACTTACAAAAAAAGAAAGCCACAGTGGAAATACTGCTTTGGTAAGAACAACAGTCTTCTAAAAACTGAAGAATACTGTCATGCTCAACAGACTGTGGTAGAAAGCTCAACCATTTCAAAAACTCCGTGTGTGGCAGAAAAGTCCTGAGGTAAGGTTAGCCATCTTTTTCAGCAAGCCAAATGCTGATATGAGTTTAAATGTATGGAACTTAAAAGTGATGCGGGATAACATGTTCCAGTGTTTCCTTTTCTTCAGCTGACATTTTGATAATTCACAATTCAACACTACAAAACAAAGCAGGTTGTCAAATAAATCTTAGATTAACATGTGTCTTACTTGAGAAACAGAAATTAAATTTTTGAAAAGCATATTGCTGGAGTATAAATTCTCTACGAGAGTGAAGTGCCAATGCATGACAAATGTCAGTCTGCTGTTTCTCTGAAATAAGCAATGATTTTATTGCAGTTAACCCAGAAAAATGGGGAATGCAGAGTAAATCAAGTGGCAAATACTGCACAGAATTATTAGACAATAAGTTCAATAAAGGAAAGTTGAAAAGAAGTTTGAAAAATGATTACAAAGGATATGAAATCACTGATGGGTAAATGGGCAAGATCAACATATTCTTTCCAGAAGAGTCAGGGTTTCTCCAAAGTGTCAGGTCATGATTTTTCAATGCTCACATTTCTGTCTTCTTAAGCACCTACTCTGAGTTTTAGACTATGACAGCAAACGTTCCTCAGCTCTGTCACTTGACCTACTGTACTGCTAAATTTTGATAGCAATAAATCTAATGAAAAATATTCGACTGCTTCCAAGTATTTCCTGTCATTTAGATTAATCTCTGCTGTTAGTCTGCAGTTTGTTCATTAGTCAAACAGATGCTTTTCAACATCAGCAACATCACACACTCTTCTGATAAGGAGTTCAGAGCAGCAGTTCACTAGTGATGGAGCAAAACCTAAAATACATTGACTAATCAGCTTTGCTAAATTACACTGGGTCTGCAATGACTTGCCTACATACTTTACTCAGGCCAGCACTATAAATCCCTTGCCACAATTAGCCTTGCACTTTTGTAGTTTCACACTTAGCATGAACATTGTCTTTTTATTATGATTGGTTACTCATGTCTTCACTAATTCAGTGGAATTCATCCAGCAGCATAGAAAGGGAGAGAATTAGACCTTGTATTTTGGAGTGAGGGAGTTTCACAAAGAGATTCCTTGCATTGTAAGTCTGCTCTTATCCAAACAATATGTGATACAGGTATACAATAGCCTTTAGCTTTCTGAATGCTTATACAGGGTGTTTTTCATCAAACAGTTTGGATTAAATACATGAATTACACTTTCTAAAAACAGATCTCCATTATAAGCATGAACAATACCTGAGAACCTCAGGAAATCTTTTAGGTTTCAGATTTATAATGGAAAAATAAACACAGTACTATGTTTCCTCTCAGATAGGGCTTTTCAATTTGTTTAACTTTAATGGGTTTGAAACTTTCCAACCACGCTTCCTCTCAGGAGAGAGCACTTGGGATTCAATCTGTCTCTGTTTTCTAAGTGTTTCCTTCTGAGTCCCTGTGGGTCACAGCCTCCAGCCACTTTCATCTCTAAACCAAACCTATTTTTTATGGCTTCCACTGAATAGCTTCATGGCTCCAGGACATCCTACATGTTTTAAGAGCAAATATTTGAAGACTGTCTTGTATATGTTTTTCAGTGGAAAACAGATTCTTGAATTACAGTATATTCTGCTTAGTAATGTGCTATGTTAGGGATTTCTCTCTAGTAAGGTGACTCAATTTATAGACCTGAAGGTGCACAATCAATGCTAAATTTAACTTATGACTAGTTGAGACACGTCAACCTGAGACATTGCATAATCAACCAGATGCACTTAGCTGAGAATGTTAGACTTCATGAAAGGTGGTGTGTCTCCCAGTCACATAGTAACGCAAGACAGCCACTTTGATTGATCTGTCCTTGTGGGAGTTGACATAACAATTCATGAAGCCATGTAAAGACTGAGAAGTTGACTGTAGGCTTATCAATCTGTTAGCAGAGAAATTAGGAATGCAGATCTCAAGTGTGCTTATGCTCAATGTAAACCAATAGAGGCCCACAAAGGACAAATGCAAAGCTATGTTTTTTCAAAATTCATTAAAACAGCAACAGAGAGGTTTAACCAATTGACCCGGTGTTTCAAGTCATCTGGCTAATTAGCATGTGATTACTGTTAAAGGAGATCGAACTTGGCCTCTTTCAAAATTTCTTTTAAACTTGTAGATTTAATTTGCAGCAAGCCTTACCTGACAGTGAGTGTGGCAGGCAGTCTGCCACACTCAGGAACACTACCCCTAACAGCCTTTCTTTGTGTGAAAGCCTGCCATAATCAGAGTAACGCTGACACTTCCTCTGTCTTCCCTTGTGATGTTGATACTTTTTCAACAAGTTACCCAAATGCAAAGGTGTCATGTGCTGAAGCCAGGGATGCAGGTGACAGAAGCTTAAATGGTGACAGAGAGGGCCAAGGTTTTGATATTCACACAGTAATTTCCAAGGAGTTTAAGGGCCAAAATCAACGGCATGATCCAGCTGTTGTGCAGTGCTCTAGGAATATAAAGCAGCTGTAAGGATGACTGAGTTTTAATTAGAGCAGCGTGAAGTAGCCAGAACATACCAGTGATGTTGGCTGAAATACCGTGTGCTGGAAAGGAGTTTTCGCTATTATCATTTTGCATATCCGTCTGCATTTCTGATGGCATTGTGATAAAGAAAAGTTTCTGAGTATTTGCATGACATTATTTCAGTATGCAAATATTCAAATCCCAAATATTTGTTTATCTGTTGTTTCACCAGGGTTCCAAAAGTGATTCTGGGGATGCTGCCAGTCTAACACTGGTAACAAATGACCTCCTGCTGTCAGTCCTGATCACATCTCCATATCTTACAGCATTCCTGATCTGCTGAAGGGATTGTGTTCCCTGAAGAAATAGCTCATATGATTCATAACAACTTTAGCATTTAATTCTTCTTTTTTTTCCCTACTCCTTATCATATTGCATATTAAACTGGAAACCTTTCCTAACAGTTTCCAGTCAAACAAGAAGAATTTGTGTGATCAGTCACCTTGATTTTGACATTTATTGGCTACTCATTTCAATACGTGCTCGCAGAATTGGTACTTGGCATGAGAACTCTTCAGCCCCTCCTCTGGTTCAGTCATTTGTTAAGCTTTATGCACAAAGGATAAATGCTATGATTATTTACTTGAGCCTGTATTGTTGTTCTGGGCATGGATCCTTCAGTATTCAAAAGTAAGAATCCACACAAGATTTTATGAAATAACCTTTATGTTAGTTTTACTGACATCAGGAGGAAATCTGTGAGGAATTTGCTGAGTAGGATGTCAGGAGAGGACAGGCTGCATGCTATTCCAAGTCTTTCCCCCGCTGATGGCAATTTGTTCTCCCTAAAGCTCTTGAAATGGCAGGTTAGATTAGGCTCTGTTACTAGTGCTGTTAGAATCAGATAACGCAAAAGGGTTCTTTGAACTTCATGTGTAGCCCCTCTTGCTAATTGGACATGATGATTTTGGCTCCATAGTACTTTCCCTTAAAATAATAGTAATAATGTTATAATACACAAACACACACAAAAGTTGATTTAAAGCCATGATATGGTTGTTGCCATTGGCAATAAATTTGTAGTCTGGATCTCAGTTGCAGATCTAACTGATTAGAATCTGACATGAAACTGGTGGGTTTCTGACAGGCTATTAAAGTATTATTGTAGGGACAGTGCAATTGGGTTAGTGAACCAAAACTGGAATTTGTTTCTCTGCTGTGGCTTTGGGAACTGTATCTTTCAGGGGCTCTGCTGTGCAGGAATTTGGAGTGGAGCAAAGTGATGTGCAGAAGTGCCTGGTACAGAGTTGATTGTGGAGAACTCAAGCACTGAGCAAGACAAATTTCTGCCCAGTGATTATGGATCAATATATAGCACTAGGAGTGAAAAATAATTTAAATATACTCCAACTGGAGACAAAATAATATAAAACCTCCATCAGATCTGAAACACGCCACAAATGATGATGAGAGCTATAAAATGTTTTAAATAGTGTCAGTCTGTATGTGAAAGTAGTAGGCACCAATTAAAAAAAGAAGGGAAGGGAAGGTGCGGGAAGGTGCGGGAAGGTGCGGGAAGGTGCGGGAAGGTGCGGGAAGGTGCGGGAAGGGAAGGGGAGGGAAGGTGCGGGGAGGGGAGGTGCGGGAAGG